AAAGGGAATAAAACGTGGGCGTCTGCGAGGTGGATGATGGCGGCGGCGGATGAAGGCGATGGCGGCGGCGTACAGCTGGAGGACGGCGCGCTGGCGAGAGTAGAAGTAACTTACGGATGACGACGGCGATGTGTGGCTGTGAGAGTAGTTTTGGATGGCCGCCGGCGATGGCGAGCGACGAACGGCGATGGCCGAAGAAGGTCGGCGATGGCGGGATATAGCCGACCATGGCAGGGGGCGGCCGGTTTACCTGTCTGTGTTAATGTGTGTTTGTGCGTGTATTTGTGCATAATACGTGTGTGTGTTAATTCTGTGAGAGAGATAGAAAATGGGATCATGTAATAATGTGAGAGAGTGAGAACATGGTAGAGGGTTGTTGGCAGGGGGGTCGGGTAGTTGGCATGGAGGCTGAATTAATGTTGATTGGGACCCACTTGAATGTGGTGTAGAAAAATACCATAATGTCCTTAATGAATGTATAATGTTGACTTTTTTTTAACCATTAGATCATTCGATCTAATGGCTACGATTTATTCTCATTTCTTTCATTGAGAATCATTCTTATGTGAACCCAACCCTATATATATATATATATATATATATATATATATATATTTTGCATTAAAAATGGGTATGTTAGTCTTAATTTTTTAAATTAATATTTTAGTTACTTTATACCATTAAATTTTTAATTTTGTAACACTTAATATTTTTTTATTCGTTACCCTTTAAAAAGACAATGTATCACATCATTTGTTTCCAATTGATATTTGATTTGGCCAATATATTGTAAAATAATATAATTAATTTTATCGATATAGAATAATATATATATGTATATATATATCAATACTAATTTAAAATAATGAATGACCTAATATTATAAATAAATAATAAATCCAAGTTAAATCAATTTTATTAAGTATAAAATAACATAAGATAAACACGTGGTGTTTTTCTTACATATATTTGAAATATTCATACTAATAAGAAAAAAAGAAAAACATATATTTGAAATATTCATACTAATAAGAAAAAAAAGTACAAAATGGATGTAAACTTGCAACTATTACCAACATTAACTATAAAATTAAAAGGAGAAATAAATGGGTTGTATGTTATACTATTATTCATTTACTGCATGTAAGGGAATACCATAATGGTTGTAACATATATTTTGAATGAATATGCAAATGAGTTAGTTACTTAATATTTTATCAAAAATAAAAAAATCCTAAAATTTTTAATCTTATAAACAGTATAAAAGTATATTTTTATCAAATATATTATTATTGTAAATAAATAAATAAATAATACTAAATATTATTTATCGCATGTGATTATATTAATTGTAGCCTAATAAATAACATATTTTGATAACAACTTCATTATATAAAATACGTGAAAAACATGACGCAATGCATATAATATGCTCTAACTCTTTTAACAAATAAAATATTATTAGTGCATATAATAAGAAACAAATAAAACAGTAGTAATGCAATGGGGAAAACAAAAAAAAAAAAATATGAATTTTCTTAGATAAATGTGTTTGTTGCTAGCTTTTAAATATATGGACTCCATAAGAAATTGATTACCATAAATAATGATCATATATTATTAATTTTGAATTTTAAATAAATAATTAAAAAATAAAAACTTTGTAATACGTAATGTAGATTTTAATAATGACTTCGTAATAATAAAGTTTACATATGAGTAAGTGTATCATAATATAATATAATTGTCATTCTCCTCCTCTCAAATATTTTAACAAATGATATGTTTCTTATTATTGTTTAACTTTTTTGTGTTGTTTTGTTTTGTTTTATTATTATTGAAAAATCAAGAAATGATCTTTAGCTTAAAATTTTGAAAAGGATTATGTATGATGCAAAAACTTGGACAATAAAAGTACTAAAAAGTTGCTAGGCACATAAATACTGCAAATAGACATGGCCAGGTGCCGGGTTCCGGCCCGGCCTGGCCCGGCCCGGCGGGCCGCAGGTCCTGGAATGGGCGAACTGGGACCGGCCCGGTTGGAACTAAGGGCAGGTTCGATGAACCGGCCCTGTACCGGCGGGTCTGAAAACCGTCGGTTTTCTGCCGGGTCCGGGTCAGACCTGCTGGTTCCGAGTTTTTTTTTTTGTATAAATTTATATATATATATATATATATATATATATATGTAAATACATGTTCATTTATTTATGTATAATAAATACATGTTCATTTTTTTATTGCGAATGAAAGTGAACGTGTTCTTGTACAATACGTCTCGTATTACTTGTATTTATTTTTTAGACATGTGGTTATGAATTTGTTCACAAATTACTGGAAGTTTGGAACTAATGAATAGGGGGATGAAATTAATGTGAAGTGTTGACGACTCGAACGTGAGTTTAACATTACGTTATTTTGCAATCATTTTGTCGAACCTAAAC